ATAACCCCAGAGACAGAACACGTGACACCGAACCCGTACATCGCCCCAACAGACCATGCCTTCGCGAATGACAACGGCCATCTACCTGACCACGAGATATCACAATCCAGGCGGCTCCACCAACGCCTGATTGCTTCGACCCACCACAGGGAGGAGCTGAGAGAGTGCCATGGTAGCCACGGCTACCCTAAGGCATGGAGCAAGTGTCTCGCATGGTAAACGCTCCGTTCAGAAATGACACACGATGACGCAAACGCCTCCGGATGTCGCTGAACAGAGCGTCACGAAATCACTGAGACCCCTACTCGTGGCGTCCATTTCCAAGCCGGAAAACTACAAGATGAAAATGTCCCAACATGAGCAAGCGCTCCGATTGTCGTTCTAGCGCTCCTCGAACTCTCCAACAGGTTTGCCTTCGAAATGCGTTGGAATGTTGTTTGTCTTCCGAGTGCTTGTTTTCATCTGTGGTGTGCATGCACCAGGACACCGTCTCAACACGTACGTACATGAAGGGGAAGTGTCCTTGGATTATTCGCGATGAAGGTGGGAACGGCCCACTTGTACCATCCTTCGGGTGGATAGTGTACAGTCGTCCCCCTGTAAAGACATGCACCTTAAGTCAACTCCCCGCTTGAAAGACGCAAAAAATCGCAGAAGCAGGATGCCCCGCAGGTGTACCACTAAACACGGTGAGGGGTACTGTATTCAGCAGTCGGGACCCCCAAAAGATGCTCGAAGACACCTTTCGAACTGCAAGGCGCAATAGACCGGGTCAGCGATCTGCTGCTACTGTCACCACTGCGGGTGGGTATGGATAAATTCGGACGACGTAGCTATAAGTGCAACTGTTGCTTGTGTAATCCTCTTTGGTCCGTCTTCGTGAAATTATGCTCAGCTTGGTAATTTGTAGTTGTGCTACCTGATATTGACCTCTGGGCAGGACCGACGGGCTCCAATCATTATTTCGTTCGTGGTTTTGTCTGGCGTTGTTGGTGCTCCGACATTTCTACTTTCGTTTCAGGTATGGTTTTGCTTCTTCCTTGTTGAGCAGGTAGCCTGTGCGGCGCACAAGATGTACAGCATGCATCGTATCCGAGTTAGTTGCAACGACGGTTGGCTGTCTTTCATTTTCTTTTGGGGTGCGGGTAACGATATGAATCTCGACAAGGTATTGAACGCGGGAACGACGCCAAAGCAATAGAGAAACTAAGCCAACAAAAAAACAACAGAGACAACAACAATGACAACAACAGCTGCTGTTGCAATTGTGTGCCTCGTCCTGCAGCACTATATCCGTTGTTCGAAGAATAATGTGAGGGGTGGAGCGTTATGACGTGAAGTATCAAGAGCGAACGACGTATGTAAGAAAGTGCGATTTTCAACCACCACCATGGTGAGATAGTCAGGTTTATGATGTCTTCTTGGTTTCGTGCTTGTATCCCTGACGCAATCGCGCGTTTCGGACGTATTGGACGCCTCCGTTGACCTCGGGAATGGTGAGTTATCATTCCCGGAATCGTAAGGACCTTAAGGACACTTCCCCGCGGTA